AGATTAGGTATTTAAAATATTTTTTTTATATAATTTAATAATTAAAAAAATATATTTATTATTTTTTTAACATTATCTTGACACATGTTAAAAAAATTAAAATAAAAACAAAAAAATGATAAAAGATGAGTGGTTGGGGTTAAGAGAGAGAAGATGAGTAAGTGCGATTAGATATTTAATGAGTATATAAATATTATAAAAAAAAGCAAAAAAATGGAAACATGGGGTATGATTTTCAATTTTATTTTGACTTTTGGGTAAATTTAGAATTTAAATGTCGACATATAGCCTAATTTTAAGAATGACAACTGTAAACTGAAATTATATTAAAATATTTAAAATTACATTTTATTAGTTTATTAATTTAGTTTGGTTATGTTTTTTGACTTTTCATTTTTAAACTCCTAAAATGAAAACCAACTGAACTCTTGTCGATTATAATCAAAATTAATAAATTTATGACAGATAATAGTTTAAATCAAACTATATGGTTAGATTTTTTTATTTTTATTAAATTTTTAATTAATTTTTTTTTTTTTACCTATTCGTATATATAGATAAACTTTAATAGACTAAACTAATGAAATGATAAAAAGAGTACATTTATTATAGTTTAGGAACAAAAAAGAGTATAAAAAATAATTTAAAGATTAAAAAGATTCAAAATTAAAATTCTGAACTAAAAATGGTGTTTTCTAGTGTTGTTACAAGGGGGAAGAGAGGATGGGTACAACAGAGGTAAGTCCGCCAAAGGATTCAAACACCCAACTAGCGTAGCGTAGTGTCCTTTTGAATTTTGATTCTGATTAATTTTTCTTTTGAGAATAAGTACTTGCTTTTGAAGCTTCCTAGTACGATTAATTCCTAACAAAATTTTCAAAAAGTGACAAAACAGCTACCATGGTCCCCCAACTACACACGCTGACGAAAATTTTAAAATAGTATAGGTGACAAAATGACAAAAAGCAAATGAATTTAAAATTTTGAATTCCAAAGGTGCTGGAAAGCTACGTGAAAGACAAAGTAGCTACGATTCTCATCCTTTTCCTTTCCTGTAAGAAAGAGATTATGTACATTCCCAATTTCCATTCATCTCGCTCTCTGTATAGAGAGGAATAAGACTTTAATTAAATCAGTACCTAATCATAAATCTTAGTAGAGATAAAAAATTCAAATTTTTGTAATAACTAATGAGTATGATGTTTTTGGGCACTATGATTGCAATACACAAGTCATCAGATAAAAAGCCCGTCCTTCCATCTTAAGTATCTCCTTTATCTAATAATTTATGTTTTATAACTCACACTAATAACAAATAATAAGTTATTTGCTTTGTCACTTGGAACAAAGATTATTAGATGAGGAACAATTGTTCAAAGCAAGAGTTGTTGGATGAGGAACAGTTCCTATCAAGGGGATCAATCCCTATTTAATTATAAGTGTTGTGTAATCATTTTTATTTAATAATAAATGTTGTGCAGTCAAAATTATACACCTATATTTTATAACCAATTATAATAAAAAAATTTTATTTTATAATTTAAACTATATAAACTGTAAAATAATAATTATTAAATAAGAGAAAAACACCAATATCATAAGATCCATTGATTTAGTGATTAGTGTGACTAATCTAATGATTAATGATTAGTGTGACTAATCTAATGATTAATGATTAGTGTACACTTTTTCATTATAACAAAACTTTGCTAATTCAAAAACAAATAAAAGAAATATCATATGGTGAGAGCATACCAAGGAGAGTGGGAATGGTGCTGTTGAGAGGACCACTTGATGCTGCTAAATCCATTGTCTGATAATCAAATTAAACCAAACCAACCATAAGTTGTGACCAAAAATCTATGCAGAAACACTGTTGCCAGTACCAAAATTGAAACTTTATGGCGATCATAATGAGACATCTACCACTTTGTCTATTTTAAGCAGACCGTACAATATAATCAGAATTCAGAAGAATAGAAACAGGACAGCAAATGTTGATAAAACAAGAAACAAAACATTAAATTTGAACATTTTTGGCGCAGATCTCCATGCAACCAATCAGTAATATAAATGAATAGAGAGAGAGGCACACATTTGTATTGTTTTTTTAATTCGTACTGTAAAATCTAATTTTGTCTTAACATTCACGGAAACTGAAACAAGAGACCCGAATCCCCATGCATGTTTTCTCAAGAAATTTTTTTTTTCTATTTTATTCTCCATTCTCTATTGAGAAGGAAAAATTGGAACAGAGAAGTTCAGAAGATGAAGACAAACGGAAGAGAGCTAATGTGAGCCGGACGATCTCTGGTCGAGAAAATGTGAAATATACAGAGTAGAAACGAAATTTAAGTGTATAAGAAATTAGCAGGCATGGCGGATATTTCATCAACATCTATACTTGGATTTCTCTTAATTTTCTCAGGAAACAAACAGAAGCATGGTGGAGGAAACATAATAGGACTTAGTACATAGATAGAATAGATCTTGGTTTCAGTTAGTAGAATTGTGGAAGAACTTACCAGAATGTTGTGATTGGAGCAACAGGATCGACAGAGAAAAATCTTGGATTGGAAGTTTGAATGCAGGAGAAACAGAGTTGAGAGAAAGCGAGTGGAGAGGGAGGGGAGGGGAAGGGAGGGGAGGGTTGGTCTGTATGTCGGTCTGTCTGTTTCTGTGTGTAAGCTATAAATTGGAAGCTGAAAATCCGCGAAAATGATTTTTCAGATTGAAAGGTCACACCACCAACACGTGCCTTGTCAGAATCTTTCTGAATTATTTTCTTTTTTTTTTTGGTTAAATATTTTAAAAATAAAATTAGTCCCTTAGCCTAGGGTTGGCACCTAGTTTTTGATTTTTTTTTTGGAAAAATATATTTTT